CAGCAGGCCCAAGGCCAGCCCAGGCAGAGAACTAAGGGCAGTGTGGGCTTTCACACTAGTATTCATATGTATAATAATTTAAGTCTAAGGAAAATTTCTCTTATTTGTGGTGTTTTTTCTTCCAGGGTTATTTTGGAGCTGTCGGAGCACTCCTTGAGCTGTTGAAGATCCCCTGACCGTTACCTGGGGAAGGGTGCCTGGAACCTTCCACAATGGATCTGTGAACTTCTCGTTTTTTAAGAGACTTACTCGGTTTCATGACTGTGTACTACTTAAATCAAAGCCAGAAAGGACAAGTGTATTTTTCTAAGTCATCAAGATACGTTGTTAAAAATTCAGTGTAAACTAGCAACCAGGAAGGAAAGATGTATTAAAAAAAACACAAAAGCGGACCATGTCCAGGCAGTGTGAGGCGTTGCTCTGTGTACGTTGCTCACAGTATAGCACTATCCAGCCTGCCGTGTGTTATTGAAACCTCAGCATCACTCACTGGAGACGCTTCAGGGGAGAGCTGTTCTGTGATCAGCCGACTGTGGTTTTGTGTCCTGTTTGAACTTGATAAATGTAAGGCATACTGCTATGTGTTTAATCACAGTTTTGTCAATATGGCCTTGGAGATCATCTGTACATTACTCTGGTTTGCATTAAGCCTCTGTGTGAACATACTAAAAATGTGTTTTATCTCAAGGTTCTGCACACTTACCTGGGTTGGTTAATTCTGTGTCTGAAACTTGACAAGCATTTCTTAGAAGGGCAATTCTGTTACTTCTTCATTGTAAATCATGGGAATGAGTGACAGTTTGGAAAGACAGGACTTCTGGGCAGAATTTCCTTAGGTAGCCAGGGATTATTCATCTGATGAACGTGGGCGAGCTGGTAAAAAAAAGCACAATCTGGAAGACAGTCAAAAGCGTCGCTAGAATTGACCCCTCTTCAGGGGAGCAGAGTCTGGTTATTCTTTCAGGCTGAGTAGAAAAGGAGTGAGGTGCCCATTAATTGGGGTAGGCAGGGGTGCTGTGGTACCTGGGAAGAGATAGTGACAGACTTGGGATATGGAGTCTTGGTAGGGGTTGAACCTTTTCTTTCTGCTGTGCAGAGTAATTTAAAAAGCCTTCCCTGGAGGACAGCACGCCTTTTATATCTTACGTCTTGAGTGGTGCCCACATTGCTGTTGAATGCAAGGAGGGGCCTACACAAAGCAGCCTTGGGACCAGAAGGAAAACTACGAGGCTCTGTGTGCCTCCCCCGCCCCCTTTTTTCTAGGGCGGCCACGGAGGCACCCACAGTGTGAGGGAGGTGCTGGCCACAGGTGGGCAGCAGAGGTGCCAACCTGCCCAGAGCTCGGATGTGCTTGCATGTATGGGCGGGCTCAGCCAACGGCTGCTGTACTAGGCGTGGCCGTTGCTCGCAGGTCTTGGACATCTGGGGGGTGGGCTCCACTGGGCAGGGGTCTCACGTGGGTGCAGAGCAGGGAGGGATGCTGCAGGGATAGCAGTCACATCCCCTGGACAGTGATTGGTGACTCTCCCTGCTGCTTCCGTGGGCTGTCGGCCCTAATTCTGAGCCCCTGTGCCCTTCTCTGCTCCCCGCAGCGTGCTTGGGACCCCCTCCCCAAAAATGCACTACCATCCACGTGTTCGTACTCTTGGCCTCTGTCCCCAGGCTGGCAGCTGTGAACTTGCTCGTTTCCCAGGAAGGCCAAGACAAGGGCCTGCCTCTCTCAGACACTCGTGCTGTAGTCACACTGCCTCTCTGTGCTGTGCCCAGGAGGCTGTGGCCAGTGCTCTCGGGGGTCTTCAGCCCTCGCTGTTCTCCCAATGTAACAGAAAGAAACAGCATCTCAGAGGAGCAGAGCTGCCCAAGGCCACTCAGCTGGAGAAGGGTAGAGAGCTGGATGCAAACCCAGGCCTGTCTACCCCGGTGCTTGAATTGGAAAATACTATCAACTCCGCACCCTTTGCCTTCTCCTTCCTCCTCCAGGACTCACCCTCTGCTTGAGAAGCTGCTCCATTTCCTCCCTTCCCACCTTGTGCTCAGCCCATCCTGTCAGTCCACTGGAGGGTTCTTGAGAGGTCACCACAATCTCGGCTTCATCTCTCAGTTTGAACATGGCAGACCTCTTGCCTTGTGCCTTCCAGTCTACTTTCTCTGCCAGCTCACTCTTGCAGACAATGAGATGTTGCTGTCCCAAGCTCAGTCCGGGACCTCTCTAGCAGTCATTGGCATCATCTTGACTGATTTCCAGGGAGCTCCAGCTCCAAGCACGTTCTCTCTCCACTTGTGGATCTCCAAGGCCATTTCTACGTAGAGATGGCTACATCCACGCCCAGCTTCCTACCCTCTCACCGCCAAACTCAGTCTCCCATCGCTACTGCCCTGTCTTCTGGGCAACTATCCCGGTCTGCCCTCCACATGATAGCCTGAGGCTTCCACCTCGTACTCCCCCCACTAGAGGTTGTGAAGGGGGCAGTGGCCATGGTCCAGGTGAGAAGGAGGGTGGCCAGGCTAAGATGGGAGATGCCATGGCCGGAGCGGAGAGGAAATGCTTAGAGGGCTGAGTGTTGGCCTAGGGTAACTGGATATGGGGGTGCCCAAAGGGGTGGAAGGGAGGTGGTGCCATTAGAGCACCTGGGTTCAGTGGGGACTGCCTGGTTTTGAGATACCAAATAGGCAGCTGGGGATTTGGGTTGGAGCTACAGGGCTGACGATGTGTATGTCAGGAAGCGAGGGATTTAGAGTTTAGAGAATTCTAAGGCAGTGAAGAGATGAGCAGTGAAAGAAGCTTCAAAGAAAACTGAAGATGATCAGAGAGGGGCCAGCTGGGGGCCTGTGGTTCGGGAGGCTGAGAGGAGAGGAGCCCTCCAGGTGCCTGGATTAAGAGGTCGTGGCTGGCCTTGATGGGAGCACTTTCCTTGCAGCACCGGGCAGAAGTTCACCTGAGAGGTCCCAGTGAGGGCTGGTGAAAGAGAATGGCAGCTGTTAGAGGCCCAGGAGGACTTTGGGCCAAGAGGGTTTTCTCCACTTGACAGTAGTTTCCAGACCTGGGCTATAGCTAGAGAGTTGGGGTGGGGGCAGGTCCTAAGGGTGCTGTACCCTCTGGGAAGACCAGACTCAGTTGTTAAGTCAAGTCGCCCTGGTGCTAGTGTTCATAGGTGGAAGGCTGCTTGCCTATCTCTAGCTGTCTGCAGAGCTGGAGGGGGCGGGGGGGGGGCGGTTGGCCTCTACTGTATTCTGCAGCTGAGGCCTCTGTTCTCTTTCTGTGGCCTGGCACTCACCACCACTGACCAGTCCCCCATCTGTACACCACACCACACCACAGAAGGGGACAAGCTTGTCACCAATACTAGTGACCAGCTCTGCTGGATCAGACTCAACTGTAGTTTCCACGTCTTGTTGCACATGCTTCAGTGGTACGTGGGGGACTACAGGCCCCTTTGAGTTCAAAGGTACATGCTCAACACAAAGTATTTTCAAAATCTTTTATTTACATGTATTTGAGTCAATTACATGCATGTTTTATTTTTTAAACGAGTGATTAGCAAAATGCATTAAAATTTTAAAATAGCAATTAAATATACAAAAATATAGCTTACAAAAAACTGTGAATGTTTAAAAATATTCTGCTGCAGAATTCTTAGTGTACAAACACGTCTATGAAACCTGAGGCTCAGCATTTCATAAACTTTTTTTTTTTTTTTTTGAGGGAGTTATACAATATCTAGTGAATAAACCCCAGAGGGCTTAACTACAGGACTAAAGTGCCCCCCTTCCTGGAAATAATCTGTCAAGAGACCTAGAGACAAGTTACCGGCAACACCAGGACAACCCAGGAGGGAAGGGCAGGAGGTCGGGAATGGGTGCAGTGGGCCTGAGATGCTGACCTGCCAGGCTTGGACTGGCACAGGGAGCTGACAAGAGCTTCCTCAAAGCACAAGTCCCCTGATAGTGGTAGGGGTCCATGTTCTAGGGACAACATTTCCCTGGAGTGGGAAGGGTGTTCTGACCCTATAGCCACAGAAGTAAGGACTGGATTGGAAAGCCACGAGTGCTGATGCTTAGTTAAAAAATAAAACTGCAATTTGCAATAATTTGGGCTCTAAAGTTGAATTGGAAAAGATTAACTTTTTCTCCTGATATTCCTACTCAAATGGAAGCACATCCCATGGCACATGGGTCCTTTGTTGATCTTATTTACTAAAGAACTCTGACCCAGCATTTTCCAGTGAGACAGGTCTATTCATAACAGCTACAGGGAAAGACACTGTCCCAGGGTCAGAGATTCCACAAGCACCAGAAAGGTGGGGCTTATACACATTTTTTTCCCCCTCAAGTTCCGGCTACAGGCCTAGTTGCACTTTTAATCCAGGAGGAGATATGGGCTGCTACTCTGGGGGCACAGGCATGCCAGGGAGGTGGGTGAGGACCAAGAGGCACTGAGCTGGGCAGCTGTTAGAGAGTGAGGCATGGGTCCATGCCCCTTTCCCCTAGGGCTGCCTGGAGGAAGCAGCTTTAACTTTCATCTCCTGTGAGAGAAAGAGTAAACTTAAAAAATGGACAGATATTACTGGTGGGATAGTTTCTGTAGTCAAATGGAAAACGAGGGTGAAGGGAAAATTCTGTAGGAAGGACTGCAGTGTTTGATATGTATAGAAAACTAGAATTCTGGTAGATGCAATCAAGTAAAAATGTCTTATTCAAAAGGAATGTATGTGACTGCAAAAACACCCCCCAGTTCTGGGTTCACCTTTCACAGATACTCTTGATTTCTGTAATGGCTCTTCCCACATGAATAGGAGTGTTCCCTTTTTAAATTTTTCTTAAAGAGACAGTCTTGCTCTGTTGCCCAGGCTGGAGTGCGGTGGCATGGCCATGGCTCACTGCAGCCTTGAACTCCTGAGCTCAAGTGATTGTACCTTAGCCTCCCAAGTAGCTGGGTCTACAGGTTCGTGCCAGCATGCCTGGCTAGTTTTTGGGTTTCTTTAAAATATAGAGACAGGATCTTGTTAAGTTGCCTAGGCTGGTCTTGAAGTCCTGGCCTCAGTAATCCTGCCTCAGCCTCTCAAAGTGCTAGGATTCCAGGTGCAGGCCACTGCACCTGGCCGGGAGTGTTCTTTGAGTATACTTGTCTGGTATCACATGAGTAAAGAGGAGAAAAACTACAAATACAAATGTGTACATGTATATGAATAAATTATCTCTAGGATACCCAAGGAACAAACTAACAGTGGGTACTCACGGGGTGAGGAGCTGGGCTTGCTGGGGGTCAGAATACAAGGAAGACTTAATTAGCTCCTTTATAATTTGTGAACCATGTGACTGGATTACCTATTCAAAAAATTAAGAAAGGCATATTAGGCACTGAGCAGCCAAGTCAGACCTTCCTAGGGCAAAGGTAGATTAAGGTGACCAAGGAAGATCAGGAGAGGAAGGGAAGCAAACCAGGCAAACCAAGGCCCCAGGGAAAGCCCCTACAGCTTAGGAGGCTTTTGGGCTGAGGTTCTATTCCCGTGGTGACAACAAAATGACCTGGACGATGTTACGTGGAATCAGCAGCCTCAGGATCCCAAGGCCTGCTGCCCACCAAGGTCTAGTCACTGGCTAATGCTCACAGGAGTTCGTAAGAACACTTGCTACAATGCCCAGGTGGTGGACAAGGAAACTTTAAGGGGCTAACTTGCAAAAAGGCACAAGGCAAGAGTAGCAAGGGAACAATTCAAATCAATCTGAGTGGACAGGCGTGGTGTTTCACACATAATCCCAGCACTTTGGAAGGCTGAGGTGGTGGACACATGCTTGAGCCCAAGAGTTCAAGACCAAATTGGGCAACAGTGAGACCTCATCTCAATGAAAAAAAATTTAAAAATTAGCCGGGTGTGGTGGTGCGCCCCTGTAACCCCAGCTTGGGCGATGGTACAAGACCCTGATTCAAAACAACAAACCGATCTGAGCAGTTTTTCTCCCTGGAGCTGGGGGGATACTGCTGTATGTGCACTTCATACCCAGAAAGCCTCACAAAAGTTATTCCTATAGTTGTTCAAAGTAGCTTAGAGAGGGATCAGGTCAGGGAGATGACATGCTTTGAACTGGGTTGGGAAAAGGCCTGGGGCCATTCTGGTACATTCAATGGACTTGGGGGGAGATTCTCATTTGTAAGAACTGGGTATTTGGCAATGGTGGGAGTTTCCTTGTATCCCTCAGCCCAGACCTTCCCAGGAGCCACCTGCCCCCATTTAGCCATTTGTCTAACTTGTTCCCTGGCTAGGTGAGCACAGGCTATAAAAGACCTTATCTGCCAGGCACATGCCAAATCACACTTGGCAAAAAAGAAAAAAAAAAAACCACAGCAGGTGTCAACATCTAGTGTCTGATGCCCACCCAGTCAGGAATAAAGTCAGGCTGGTTCATCCCTGTTTCTAAAGCCAGCTGAATTCAGTTGCTCCCCTAGCAACAACCAGATAATGATTCTGCCACCCATGGAGTCCAGCTGGGGTTGGTTATGCTCCACTAACCCATGGCACACCAGTAACATCCAATCTTTGAGCTGCTTAAGACACAGTAAAACAACACCAGTTCAAGAGCACACCAGAGTTCCCAGGTAACTACACTTTAACAAAAGTTCACATGACTCATGAGATAGATGCGGAAAGAGTGCCTCTCCATGGGGTCTGAGCCTTAACCAAGAATATAAAGGAATTCCTAACTCATTCTTAAAATAAAAATCTAGATGGGTTGTCCTTCCAAAAAAAGACTGATTTAATCAGAATTAAAGGAAGACATAAATTAGAAGGTCTGCCATTTGCATGTACAGCGATGCAGAGGCACAGGAAAGTCCTGGTGGTGGACACAAAGGCAGGGAGCAAACATTCAGGGTGTGTTGCTAAGCATTGCGGAACTACTATGAATGGTCCTGGGCCTGCTGCTGTAAATGCCACACTGAGAAAGGGAGATGACTAGGGACGGAGGAATACTCTCAGCTCCAGCTGTTCCTAGCGGAAGGCATGCATTTTTAAAAGCACTTCACACTCACATGTGCTGAGACGGTCATATTAGTGGCACCTCATCCGGGAAAAGTAGACCCAAGATGGTGCCTGGTGCAGGCACAGAGCATTCCTGTGCTTTCCTCTAACAGCTGAAACTGTTTGGGCTTTGCACCCAGGTCCAGTACTACACATCAACCCCCTCAGTGTGCCTGTAGCTATGACACAATGAGATGGATGAATTTGCCTTCATTCAAATAGAGGGATATGGTGTGGCTGTCTTGGCTGGTACTGACGCCCAGAGACAGAAGCAGCCTGCACCTGAAAGGCTAGACTCCTACAAAAGCTGTGGGCGGCAATGATTGAAGTCTCAATCATAGGAGATTCTTCCTTTGAAGGGAAAAAAATGTTCTTTCCTATTGGAGTCCATAACAGAGTGACATCTGTCCTAAGCCCATTCCATGGAAAATGGTGGATGCTGGCCAGTAATGAGGCTAGTCCAGAAGCAAGCCTATTTCTGACATTGGTCACTGAAAACAGTTCACTGTAAACTGGGTGTTCTGCAGCATTCAACTCTATCGTGCGACAAATAGAGAACTCAGAAAGACAGTGAAAGCAGGAGTATACAGATAGTTCACAGGTGCCAGGCAGGCTAAGGCTTCATATAAAAATATTCCACACTTTCCTTGCCCTGTTTCAGAAGCAGTCCAGTTGGCATACCACGAATAGGTTACGCACAGGAAATGGCCAATTCTGACCAACTGGATTTGTAATTTTCCAAACTGGATTCTGTCCAGCACTTTTCTAGGCTAATGGAAATTTTCCTCCTCGTCTGACCCCAACCATCTGAGCCAAGGACAGTTCCCCTCTCCTACACTAAGATGATAGAGAGGTTGGATACCAGAAAAGATTCCTGGAGACATGCCATTAGCAGAGTAGCAAAGCTCCCTCTATCCTCTTTCCATGTCACGCGGGGTGTATTCCCATACAAAAAACCTCCCCTACGTACACCTGCGGATGGTGTGGAGCACAGCAGGTGATGAGGCATTGAGGCAAGTGCTACTATGACAGAGGGAGGTGTACAGCATTGGCTGTGAAGAATTTTCTATCTGATTCACTGCTGCTTTTCAGGGCTAGTTTATACAATAGTCACAAATCCTAGTGGACTCTGAGTCATTTCTAGAAAAGTTGGACAGAAAGAGCCAAAGAGCAGCATGCATTTCTCTCCTAAAAAGACACTTTCAGTTAGTTATCACATGTCCAAGTACCGAGGCACACACCAAAGGGAGGACAGCCCTGCAAGAGCTTCCTGAAACTATTTACAATTCCAAGGGGATTTCCGGCTTCAGAAATATGTAGGGATCTTATTTGGGATAAACTGTTAAAAAGCGAATGACAGGCATTTTTCTTAAGTAGAAAAAGAGATGAGTAATATAGGGAAGAGAACAGAGGGAAGGAGGAGGGGGAGAGGCCAAAGGGTCAGCGTTGTCCTTATCCAGCTGGGCCAGGAGGATGGGCTGTCCTCTTGGAGCCATCTGAGGGGCTCATGGCGGCTCCCTCCAAGGCAGCGGGCCTGCCAGCAGCTACACCTGGAAGCACACTGCATACATGGGGATGCACGCAGTATCCTGGGACCCCCGGGTCATGCAGGGACAGTGTGGGCTTAGGTCCCATCCCTGCTGTGACTCCTGACAGGCCTCACTGGTCCACAAGAAGGAGAAATGATAAAAGGAAATGGCTTCTGGCCAGGCCTTTTCAAGCGCATCGAATGTTTCAGCTTAGATGGTTTGATAGCAGGTGTATGATCTTGAAGGGAAAGGGTGGCAAGGGCACTGCTGCTCTGTTGTACCCAGAGCCCTTCGGTTCCATGATGGCCTCGTCACAGGAACAATGTGAGCCTTGCAGGCACTCCTCACCAACCCCTGGCAGCCGTTGTGCTGGTTTTACTTGGCTCAGGGGCTGTTGGGAGGGTCTGCTGCTACAGTGGCATGTGCGGCTGGCACAGAAGCCCACCCATCCAGAGGAAGGGGTGTGGTTTTCAAGGCCTGCCCTCAGCTTCCTTCTCTACCACTCTTGTTTCTCTTCCCTCCTGCTTGGCATGGAGATAAGGGTCCGGGAGACAGAGCATAATAGAGTTAGTGAGAGACCTCATGAAGGTTCTTGAGGCAAACCCGCAGGCTCCTCCACTCCTCTTCTCTCTGCAGGGGGTAGTGTCAAAGTGCTTTGGTTGTCACAGGTGACTAGGTTCTCAGCTTGGCTGGCCCAAGAGTTCTTCACGAAGCAAAGGAAGTGGCAGCTGGTGCCCCAGGTGGAGAGCAGCCAACACAGAGACCATGTGTGTTCCTCCTGGCTCCACGTGGACGTCATATCCAACAATAGTCTGACCCTCGTGGTGAGCTATACAATGTTCTCTGCCCCCGGAAGGGGCCCCTGAGGGGGTCCACGGTCCTGCTTACTGTGCAACTGGGCCAGTTGCAGAACTGGCATGTTGCATAGGGGACACACTTTCCGAACCTCCAGCCACTTAATAAGGCACCTGCAGAACGAGACGCCACAGGGGAAGATGTCAGTCCCATGCTCATGGACTCCACTCTTGTGTGTACAGTGACCAAGTTTCACCACTAGATGGTGAATGCACAACATCCTCTGCAGGAACCAGCAATGCCTGTCTTCCACATGATACTAAGCCACAGACAGTATGTGATACCCTCACTCACCCATGACTTCTTAAAGAAGAACAAAGTACACTGAGGAGGGATGTGGGAAGTAGGAAAAATAGAATGTTCTAACAGAAATACAAAATATATAGAATTGTAAGAGAAGAGGAAATAATGTCTGCAGGAAGTGGGAGGGGACAGCCCCACACTACCATTTATATCCAGACTGAATTTTGATTTAAAATAACCAAGTTTTTGATTAAAGTATTTTTTAGGAGATGGAAACTTTCATTGGAAAGTTCCAGCTAAATAGCTTGTATTGCTTGAGCTCAAAAGAGGTGTGGATTCATCTGGCTCTCTGCCCACAATCCTGCCATGGTGA